GGACAGTCGGAATTGTTTGTAATAAAGGCATTTTTAATAAAAATAAAAGATTAACGTGATAAAAAAGGATTAGCAGAAAAAAAAAGGATTCGAAGAGAGAAAAATAAATGCAAGGGATATATTTAGAAAAAAAGGATTAAAATAAATGCAAGAGGTATATTAACCACAGGCAAAAAAACACCACGATTTAAAATTCACGCATACATATGTATGTCCCTTTATGTAACTTTTGTAACTTGGAATAGCAAGTTCGGAAAACAGCCCCTAATTTGGGTAAACCGGATGATATACAAATCCTCACTAAAAGAGAAAAAAACGTAATGTGTCCTATCTTGTGATAAGAGTAAAGTATTGCAATGGACAAAAGAAGAATTTAGGTTAATATAATTATAGTATCGTGACCAAAAACAATAAAAAATAGAAACTTTAATAAAAAAAACCATGTTTCGCGAACGTGCAAGAAGGGAAATCCGAGATGTCCACGGTCTGTGCGCGTAGCGAAAAGAATTGGTATCACATAAAGATCTTTCAAGGAAAGTATTGTATCGGTCGTTTTGTTTCTAGAAAAAGCAATGTGATGGTCGAGAAATTGTTATTACTATATGCACATACGTACGTGATAATCGAGAATTAAGAATTAAGAGATACCAAAATAATACCAAAACATAATAAATAGGCTTTACCGATGAATATCAGACGAGTATAATTTCACATTCAACGTTGGTACGTTGGTGCTAAGGATGTTATCCTGCTTAAACTGGTTAGTTTGTGCTTCGAAATCCGCTCGAACACTGTTCCGAAACACACATAAAACTGATTTTCAAACTCTGCTTTAAAACTGGTTATACATATGACTATTAATTATGCTTGCCTGAACAAACCCGTTATAACGATAAATTAAAAATTACGAATGCGAAGCTTTTTGCTCATCGAACTCGATCCGAACACAATGAATATAATTAAAATTCACATGATTAAAAACCCGTGCTTACCTGGTTCTGGTTTCGAACAGGAACAAACAGTGTTCCGACAAGTAGGAATAACATCCCTAGTTTGTACTGAAGGTTTCATTTCAAGACGACTAAATTATAAATAACAATAAGCCGATTATATTTATAGTAGTATTTTGTGAAACCAGCTTTGAAAGGTTTCAAGGAGTTTGAAACGGTTTCAGATAATTTTAATTTAGAGATTCTGTTATAATAATAGCAATCGAAAAAGTTTATTCACAAAGAAAAAAAAGAAAAAAAAAATGCTTTGTTAGAGAATTTTGAAAGATTTAAAACCACTGCTACTACTGATAAAATTTGATAAAATTCAAATAAAAGTTTAAAAAGATTCCGAGTAAACAAAATTTAAACAGAACGAAATTTCATGATCATTTTTTATTGAATTTTTATGTATCTTGTTACATTCCATTTTTTCAATTATTTCCCATTTCCCCCCATATTTTTTTTGTTTTTTTTTTTACAAAATACAAAATATAAATACAAAAAGAATTACTGAATTAATAAAAAGGAATGGTAATTTAACGTTTTGTAAGATTATAAAACGTTAGACCGAGTGTTCACATATTTAAATTAATTATATAAAAGAATGTTTGTAATTTAAATCATTAATAAAATGAGTGTCATTTGTTTTTGTTTGTAAGGAAGAATTTGACATTGTTGAAGTGTCACTTCCACGTCTTGATTGACTTATATGAGCAGATTCAGGTACCAACGAGTTATGATTACCAATTAATCTAGCCGAATCCATTCCAAAATTATTAAAACCAATCGTTGGTGATGAATCTTTTCAACGAGATGAACAGATTCAAATATATTGTAATAATGAGGCTTTGGCTATTCCGTATGTCAGGTGAATTTATTTTAAAACATATATATATATTTTATTGTTCAGAATTTTATATTTATTTATATAAATACTTTTTTTTTAGCCCGTTATTGGCTGAAAGTTTGGGTGGCATGCCTCCCATGTTATTGGTAATTTTCTTTTAAACTTA